CTTTTTGCAAATCGACGAAACTTATTTGAATAAAGAACAGAACATTTCTTTTTCTTTTTTTTCCCTTTTTCTCTCTCCTTTTTTTTTTATCAACTCACAACCGACCCGGTGCAATTGCACCCGGTGCCGTAATACGCAACGCCGTGTTGCGTAACGCGGCGCAACCGCGTGCCGAAAACGCGACACTCGAAAGTGAAACCGATTCTATCCGATTCTCCGCCGCGACGCGTCGCAGCTAATTATCTACGGCGCCCCGCACTGGGAGCGCGTACAATTTTAATGCAATCGCGGTAACGTTATAATGAAAAAGGGGAAAAAGAGGAGAGGAGGATTCGGAGAGAATCTTCCGAGCCCACGGACGCGGACGCGCCCGTATGTACGGCGACTGCCAAACGCGTCGTGTTGCGCCGTCGATTTTACACTTTGAAAGTTTCTGGGTCGCGGCGTGCGGATGGGCTTTCACTTTCCTCCGTTCCTTCTTCCGTTCTTTCGAGCGCGCTCTGCGCCAGCCGCCGCGCCGCCACGGCCCTTTTCGCTTTCGTTTGACCCTTTTTCACTCGCGACAATTCTTATTCCACCTGCGATCGTCGGCTACGCGGATCGGCCGGTCGCAGTGAAATGCTGTCAGTGGATATCCGACTATCCGGTTGACGGCTATCTGGTAAAAATAATGCGTGAGCGTGCGTGCGTGCGTACGGACGCTACGCGCTCACGTACGTATATTCACTTCCGATTCGCACCGGTTCGAACAAAGAACGCAGGCCGCTGTTTAGAAGCACGGCCATACAATGAAGAACGGAAGTTGGATCGATCGTACGTATTTTTTCAGCGGGATTCCAGTCACGGCCCTCGTTTGCGTCCCGCTTCATCCGAATCGCGCGCCGTCAAATGAAGAACTTGTAATGCACTGCTTTTCGAATACGACAAGTGTTAACGTAATGTCGTCACGGCACGACACTTTGTTAGGGTCTGAGCAGAAAGGTTGTAACCGTCTACGATTCTGCCGTAAGACTTAAATCGGCGTCGGAAGTCGACGGGCAAAAAATTGTCGTGGACGTACGTCACCTCAAGCCAGTTCTACATTGATCGTATCGTATCGTCGCAGGTCATAGATTCCAATCGGCGTTGAATTAGAACCAGAGCACAAAGCAATGTAATGGCTTACGACAAAGACGTAAGCGTATACGTAGATTAGCGCACAAGCTTTGACGTATATCGTACTTGCCTCCAATTACATACGACGTTACACTTGCGCCAAGGTTTCTGCGCTATCTACGTTTACGCTTGCGTCTGTCGTAAGCTATTACGTTGCTTTGTGCTCTGACCCTTACGATGCGATGAATACGACATGCGTCCGCGACAATTTGTGCGTTATCTTCCAACATCGACTTCCGTCTTACTACGAAATTGCAAATACTTACGACAATCTTTCTGCTCACGCCCTTATCCTTTACAAACGAAAAGGTTTCGATGTCTACGGGTCAGAGCACGAAGCAACGTGATAACTTGCGACAAAGGCGTAAGCGTAAACGTAGATCAGCGCACACCTTAACGCATGGACCTGAGCAGAATGGTTTATCTTATACTCTTAAGACAGCCTTAAGACAATGTTTTATGTTTTAAGCCTTTGTCTTGAGGTAACGCACAAATAACTGTCTTATGTCTTAAGAGTACAAGACAGCCATTCTGTTCGGACCCTATGACTTATCTCCAATTAATTATGACGTTATATTTTGGTTTCGTAAACCCGTTTACAATACGTTGTATGTCGTCGGATGTCGAGGCGCAGCTGATGGTCCAATGAGAAATTTCTTTTTTAAAGTAAGCAGTAAGACGCAAGGCGATGTCGGAAGTTAACGCACGAAGAATTGTCGTAGACGCATGTCGCATTCGTCGCATCGTAAGGTGACATACGTCTACGACAATTCTTTGTGCGTTGACTACCGACGCCGACTTAAGTCTTACGACAGAATCGTAAAGGATTACGTCAATCTTTCTGCTCGGGCCCTAACAAGGTGTCGTGCCCATCTACGTTTACGCTTGCGTCTTTGTCGTAAGCTATTACGTCGCTTTGTGTCTCTGACCCTACCCCAAAGTGGAGTGGACAAAAGATTCCTTGGCACGTTTTAAACGCGATACAAACACGGATGTTTTAAGTGAGTTTTGTCGGGACAACTCACTCTGCGAGACGGCATTTCGAAAACTTCCTATTGACGAATGCGCGTTATCGTTTCTGTGGTATTTCCCGGACAAGTAAACGGCAGAAGGGAGGACGGATGTGTATTTCGTAATGAGCTCGTTCTCTGGAATTAACCCTAGAACAACAGCGCCGGGTCGTTTACAACTCGTGCCACGTTTTCTTTGCATGCACCGATATAATACAATCTGAATTAAAAATAATGTCGATAATATTAGTAATATATTTTACGTTCTTCTATCCCGATATTTGTATCTTTTACAAATTTACATTTCTTTATGTATATTTGTAAGCTCAATCTCTTTTACATTTTTCCTTTCTATACGCTGAAGACTTTGTAACAAGCGAAATGTTCGTCTCCTTTGTACGATTTTCCAAATACAATTTTTCCTTTTTGTCCTCGTATAGCTGATCATTATTGGCCCTTTTGTTTACTTGTTTGTATTCACATAAAACGAGCATGTCATTTATTTACTAACTTAGATATCCATGTTACATTTGTGCCAAGGTGTCACTTATATATTAGGTCAAGCATGCTTACACCTTTTTTTTACATGTTACGTATTTCACATTGTAATTGTAGGGTTAACGTAACTCTTTTCGACCACAGTTGCGCTTCATCCTTTACCCACATCCTCGCCTCTCCGGGCACCGCACCACCGACCCCGCAAATCCTTATCGTGCTTTCTACACGCTTTCGTGCTATTGTAGCTTGGAAACGCGGGCGCGCGCGTAGAAGCCCAAATCAGGTATGTTTCGAGCGCTCGATAGTTAACATAAGAATGGCCCTATTACGGAATCTACGTCGAGAACATGCCTGTTCTCCTCGTCGAGTTATTCCCCTCGTAGTGACGCCTAAGGCGCGTTATTACGTATTCGGATGCTGCCGAAAGCGACGATACATCTCTCGTGAATTTCTTTTCCCCCCTTTTCTTTCGGTATTTTTTTTCTTTTCTTCTTCGACGACGGATTCTCGCGCGAAAATTGTAGGACGGTCTGTTTACGGGGACGTACGCTTAATCTCAAAACCTGGTGCACCCGACGCGATGACAGCGATGATGACAACGCGCTTGCGATACTCCGCAAGGCGTGCATTTATATATGCACGCGCGCGAATTGGTGTGCGCGTGTGTACGCGCTGTTACAGCAGAAACGCTCGCTCTGTCGCTCGCGCGGGAAAGAGTGCGAGAGCCGGCGAGTGAATAAATGAGTCGGGCAGGGGAGGTATGGGGGAGGGGTGTGCGAGGAAGAGAGAAAGTGAGAGTGAGCGCGGCGCGGCGGGCGGATGAGCGAGAGAGAGACTGGGCCAGAGAGAGAGAGAGAAAGAGAGAGGTATTGCGGCTTTCCACGCTGGAGATAGAGTACGCTTGTACGCGGTAGAAAGGGCGGGGGGGGGGGGAGCGGGTTGAGGGGCGCGAGGGGAGGGAAGAGAGACACGCACATCGGCGGAGGTCCGCGGGAAGGGGGGAGAGGGAGAGAGACGGCGACGGCGAAGGGCGAAAGGAGGATGAGTAGACGGAGAGAGAGAGGAAGCGCGCGACGTAGGGGCCGTGGCGCGGCGTGGCGCGGGGGGGAGGGAGGGACGGAGGGTAACGGAGACGGAGCGCGGTGTACGTAACGAGAGGGAGCGAGTCGCGGCTGCGTCATGTTCTCAACGAACTGGGTCAGTAGGTCTCCCCACCGCGCTCGTACGTGCGCGCGCGCGCGCGCGTGTACGCGCGTACACACGGGTGCGGAGCGCGCTGGTGCTTGTCTCTCTCGGGGAGTGCCAACGGCGTTGCTGTTGACCCAGCCGCGGCCTGTACGTGTCTCTCGTGCCCCGCGAGCTCTTACCCGCGACCGCGCGCTTCTACCTGACGATATATCCGTGCCGGCTCACCCGTCGTGCACTTTGAAAGCAAGAGTCGCTTCTCTCCGCGAAGGCGCGCGCGCGCGCGCGCGATCTGTCCCCTCCCCCTCGCGACAATCTCTCGCGAGCGGGCCTCGTCTCGAGACGCGGGGCGCACGCGGAAAGGCCGAAAAAAGATTCGGTCCTACCCGATACGTTCGCGGAATGCGTCTTACGTCATTCGCAGGACCGGTCGTTCTCTCAGTTTCACTGCCGAGGTACCGCGAGAGGCTCTCTCTCTCTCTCTCTCCTTCTGTTCGCATTGCACGTAGCGTCCGCCAGTTTTGTACTATACGTTTCGAAAATTCGTCCCAGTTTTCCCGCGTTTCGAAAAGAACTGGACTCCGAGTCCGGGGATACGGCCGGATATACGACGCGCGCGCGTAACGCGCCTCCCGACGAGAGGACGGCGGGCGGGGCGGGCGGGCGGGCGAGCGACGCGCTCGCGGACAATATTTCTCCGGCCGACATAGACCTGGTTCCGTAAGTAGGTCATCCCCCGCCACAGGTCGCGCAACCTCCTTCTCGCCGTCCCGCTCCGCTCGCCCCACCCCGTGCCCCCCGCCCCGCCAGCGGTACCTTCGACCGCGGCAATACCGCCCTCCTCTCCGCCGCGACCGCGTGCTACTCGCCCCCCCCCCCCGTCTCTCTCCCGCCCGGTCGTCCGTACGGGCCGCTCAGGCGGCACCTCCGCACCGCGTCGGATACCTGGCCGCGCGCAGTGGCATGCGCTGCTGAATCACTTTCACTTATGCCGTGCGCTGTGTTGGTTATACTCCTGGCCGCGCGCGCGCGCGTCTCGCTCGCTCCGCTCGCGTCGCCGACTCGCCCTCTCGTTCGCTCCTCCTCGTCGCCTCTCGGCGTCTCTCGCGCTGCCCGTGTCGGTAAAGGGACACGCGCGCCTTCTCTCCTCTATACCCACCGAAACGCCGAGGGAGCCTGACAGTAGTGCGCGCCTCGGCACCGTTCTCCGTGGCACAGTTTCGGTTTCATTTCCCGACCGTCCGTCCTCGTCGTCGTCGTCGTCGCCGCGACGAGTGTCGTCGATCTCGCTCTCGCGCGCCAACGAGCGTCGCTACTCCGTTTTTCGTAAGTGCGCCCGCCGACAGTAACGTGTCAGCGATCGGCCGCGCGGCGCCGCGTTATCGCGCGACGGGAGTGATCGCGTCGCGCTCTCTCGTCGTTATCGTCGTCATCGTCAATCCGACGTGCAGGCCCGTTGTCGTTGACGACGTTGTTACCGCCGCGCGCTCGCCGCGATACGTCACGTATGCCGTGTCTCGCAAAGGCGGTCTCTACCTACCTACTCCATGTGCCGACGGTAGGGCAGCGGAGGGGAGGGGGGCGGGCCCTTCGGGAAAGCAACGAGCCGAGAGGACAACTAGTCGTACGCAGATAGGCGAGCTGTCAAGTCGTTCCGCTCGGCTCCGCTCCCGGAGTCTCTCTCGTCGGTCGTGTTCGCTCGCTCATTCGCCCGCTCGCTCGCTCGCTCGCTCGCCGGCACATTAGTCATCCGAATTACAGTGCGTGCTCGCGCTCTCTTTCGCGCCTTCCTCCGCTCGCGATAATACACAATCGCGATCACGGTGTACACCCGCGGCCGTGTTTGTTGACAGTCGCGCACCCGTGGCCCGCTGACCGCGTAGGCTGCCCTCGTGTGTGTGCGCGCGCTCTCTCGCGCGCGCCCACCCGTCCGTCTTCTTCGTTCCGCGCGCGGTGCACGGACGTGTGGTTGGATCGTGCGACGCGAATCATCCCGTCGGCCGCATTGCGCTCGGCAATAAGTTGGATTACAGTGCGCGGACAGGAGAGGAAACGGGGCTCGAAAGGGGGCACCTTGGGCGCGAGGCTCCGCTCCGCTCCGCTCCGCTCCGCTTTGACAGTGGCGAATGTTGACACGCGCGCGAACACGCCTCGACCTCGGTCATGTCTCGGACGTAGGTCCCGTCGACCGACGACGACGACGACTCTGTGCGTCCGCGTGTATGTACGTTCGGTGGTGCACGATGGTTCCTTCTCGGTAAACGTGTAAACCCGTGAGAGAAAGGAAAGAGAGCGAGAGAGAGAGAGAAAGAGGGGATAAGGGAGAAGAAAAAAGCGTGGCTGGTGATCGATATCCTTGTACTCGTGGCTCACCGGGCATCGAGTGTGTGCAACCCTCTTCCCGTACGCGCGGAGGAACTCGCTTCCTCCTCGCCGCGAGTTGTGTCGGGGCCTCCGTTCCCCCCCGGTCGACGTCATCGTCGTCGTCATCCGCCGAGCGCGCGGGTGCCGCCAGGTCGCGTTTTCCGCGGAGAAACACCGTGCGCGCCAGTTTTGTCGTCCCGCTCCGAACCTCGGGAGCGATGTCCCGCGAACGTGACCGACCGAACGGGACGGGTAGACGCGGATACACGCGGATGTACGCAGATTTTATTTATTAACACGCCCCGGAGAAATCAGCCCGATCTGCGCGGCCAGAAACTCGCTAGAGATTCGAGAGAGAGAGAGACGTTGGAAAAGGGAAACGAAGGAATCGAAACGAACGTTCGGTGATCGTCGCATCGGCCGCATCCCAGGGGGGGGGGAGGGGCTTGAACAGCCCCGTTTCATATATGTGCCGATACGCGAACACGCCGTCCGTCCGTCGTGCGGTGCTTCTCGCGCATGGGTGATATGTTATTGGAGATGGAGCAACATTCGGGCCTGTTATCCCTGAACATGTCACCGTTCCACCTGAGTCCGCAGGACAGCCCGCAGGCCGCCGGACAGCAGCCCCCGCAGCAGCAGCCGCAGCCGCACTACGGCTCGTCGGCGTACGGCAATTGCGCGCAGAGCTCGCCATCGCCCATGTGCCATCAGCCGCAGTCCCAATCGCAACAGCAACAGCAACAAATGTCCGCTCACAATCAGGCGGCGCAGTCGCAGGGCATGTCGAGTTTCGAGGCCGCCTTCTTCGACTCCCCCCTCGAGGATCATCGGTGCCCCATGTGCGGCCACAAGAACGTATCCAGCTATCAGTGCGGCGTGCAGGGCTTGCTCACGTGCGAGAACTGCAAGAACTTCTTCAAGCGCAACGGCTCGCCGTGCAGCAACAAGAAGGTCTACACGTGTCTCTTCTCTCAAACGGGGGGCGGCAGTGGCAATGGCGGTGGCGGCAACGGGGGCGGTAGTGGCGGCGGCGGCGGCGGCGGCGGCGGCGGTGGCGGCGGCGGCGGCGGTGGTAACAACTGCAGCGCGTCCTCGGCGCTCGAGATTTGCCCCAACAAGAAGACGTACACGTGTCTATTCCCGGCAGGAGCCGGAAGCGGTAACGGAGCCTGCGGCGGTACGTCCACCAGTCTCGAAGGTAACGGCGGCGGAGGCGGTTACGCCGGCAGCGGCGGCGGCAACGGCGGCGGCACTGCCGCCGGAGGTGGCGGTCCAGGCGCGGCCAACGCCACGGTCAGCGGCGGACCGGTCGCTGCCGCGGGAAGCGGCAACGTCGCCGCCGGCGCGGTCCCGACCGGCGGCGGTACCATGTGCCACCCCGGCATGGGTCAGGTCGGCGTCGTGACCGGCTCGATACCGTGCCCGTCCGACTTCCCGGACACCAAGGACATCGTCATCGAGGAGCTGTGCCCCGTGTGCGGCGACAAGGTGTCCGGTTATCACTACGGCTTACTCACGTGCGAGTCCTGCAAGGGATTCTTCAAGCGCACCGTCCAGAACAAGAAGGTTTACACGTGCGTGGCCGAGAGGTCCTGCCACATCGATAAGACGCAGCGGAAACGGTGTCCCTACTGCCGCTTTCAGAAGTGCCTCGAGGTCGGCATGAAGCTCGAAGGTGAGTCCTCTTCAGCCTCACTTATTATTATTTATCTTATTGCCGACAGCGAACTCGATTGCTCGCATTAGTGCGCACTGAGTGCACACTAAGACCAGTCTGTAGTCAATTTTTTTACTTAACTTTGTCTCAAATACATGTCCAAAGAGTATTTAGCCAACAAATGATCCGTGTGGATGCCGTACAGATAATTTTACCGGCTACGAAATATTTCAGACGATTCTAAAATATAAGACTTGCCTGTGAACAAGCCTCAGCGTGCGCTCAGTGCGCACTAAGACCAGTTTATAGTCAATTTTTATACCTAACTTTGTCTCAAATACATGTTCAAAGAGTATTTAGTCAACAAATAACCCGTGTGGATGCTATACAGATAATTTTACCGGCTACGAAATGTTTCAAGAAATATTTCAGACGATTCTCAAGTATAAGACTTGACTATAAAAAAAGTCTCATTGTCAGCGTGCACTCACAGTGCGCACTAACAAGGGGAACCCGGCAGTCTGTACTCACCGATTTTAATCTAGTTGTGTGGGTGTGTTGTACTCACTCAAACTTATTTTCTGCTAAAGCCGTAGGGCGCACTATTCAGGCGTTCTCGAGGAAATAACAATAAACGGTAATTATGCATAAAAGCGACTTCCTCTCCGATTTGCTTTATTTTTAAATATGTTGTTGGGGATGTCTTCCCGAGTCATTTCATATATATAGTTTTGGAGATACAGGCTGAGAAAGGATACAAATTACCATATATTTATTATTTGTATCCTTTCTCAGCCTGTATCTCCGAAACTATTTGAGTCCGGCCCTTATATATATGAAATGACT